CGCTACTCACCATCTCCCAACGCTTCCAACTCTTCGTCGTCCCATTCTCGATTGGGCTGCGAGCTTTCAACAGTCTGCAGCGCCCAGCTCATACCGCGAGCATCTACATACCACAGAGGCGGCGCGCTTGAGGCATTGGCGGTATCTGCTGCTGCCGAAGGATCATAATGCGAGCCAAACACTCGAGTCAAGGGTCCGACGTTTACTGCCTCGGAAAGTAATGTCGCGAGCAGGTTCGAGACGGTAGACTCGCGCTGCGTGCCATCACTACTTGACCCAGTGTAGATGGGTAAAGAAGCTGACAAGATAGTGGCATTGTCCGGTAGCACTACGTGCAGGAGATCCGAGACCGCCATGCTCGATGTGCTGAAAGGAATGCAGCGCCAGCTTCCGTTGATCTCTCAGGTTGACCCCTTCAATCTGGCACCTTTTGGTGGTAAAAAACGGGCAATTGTGCAGATTTCAGTCGGGTGTCGTTAAGTCGTGAGTGCGGTGCGAAGTGTGCGTTCCAGGCAAAGAGCAGATGTCGTAAAAATCGCAGCAAGATTTCCAGCTGGGAACTGTATGTCAAAGAGTCGTAAAGCAGGGTGGGGAAGGGTATGACTAGGCAGCTTTCAGATTGCAGCAGGCGAATCGCAGCAAAGATGAGTCCCTTGCATAGACCAGGGTATACGAGTGGTGGGCGGATGCTGCAACTATAGACATTAGGATCGGTGCTGTGAAGGAGGAAAGCGTTGCCATGGACTCACGACTATGTACTACTCGTGACTGTACCTACCTACTGTATGCATGGAGACTCGTTCGTCGAAATATACGCCGCGCATGTCCGGCCCGCCTTGACGCGCGCGGTTTGCAGAACCCCTGATTCACGCCTGCAATCGTGAATGCTGCTGAGCATATATGCAGCACAGCCTGCGCGTTTCAGCGTTGCCTAGCGTCTCCAATCGCTCGTCACGTGAGTGTGCATTCAAACGAACCAAGGCGCAAGCTAGATTGTTCTGGAGTCTCACAGTTGCAAGCAACTCTGCGACTTGATCGGTCAGCAGGGCGGAGCAGCGGGGGATTTGATCCGAGGGTCTACGCGCGGACCCTTTCCGCGGAGAGGGACAGCCTCCACACATCCACGCACGCACACACAGCAACAACATGCAGTCAGAGTCACCAGGGTGGTCGTGCCTCACTGATCCGGGAGCAGCGCGAGTATTACTGCCTCTCTCCTCAGCATCGCGCCCGTAGGTGGTATACCGTAAGCGCTGACGCAATTCAGATGAGCAGCTTGAGCGTGATCTGGATTTGCGCATGACAGCTATAGTCGTTGAGAGAAATGGCACCCTGATATTGTGAGTCAAATGCTGGTGATGCTCATGGACGAGCCGTGCCGCGCTGCGCAAACCCCGCATGCCTAATTTCACATTGTTCCTGCACACCAAGCAATCACGGATGGCAGGCAGCCTCTTCTGAGCTGCCCAACTCATTTTGATTTGTCACCGTACCGTATTCGATGAGACGGACGGCTGAAGTTGTGGTGAATGCACAGCGCTCTTTGCGTTCGTGATTGGACAGCTCAGCCGCCCACCGTAGGGGCCTGACGTATACAGGTGCGCACGTTGGATGGTAAGGCTCTGATCGCAGCTTTTGGTTTCGGCATTGCAGCTCCGGCAGCTAGTCTGCGGCCATGAGTGGAACAGGACAGCTGTAGGAGAGAGGGGAGCAAAGGTACAAATACATGCTCATCATGTCTCGATGCCGCTCTCTCCTTCGAGCCCCAGCAGCCCGTACAAGCAGCTACCTTGGCTCAACATGAAACTCCTTCTGCAAGCCCCTCTGCTGGCTCTCAGCGCCGGCTGCGTCTCGGCCGCATCCATCTCGACATCCTCGGCAGACGCAGCAGCTGATGCCTTCACTCTCTCTGCCACCCTGGGTCTCCCAAGCGCGCCGGCCAGCTTGATCCAGCGCTTCACTACCTGGCTAGGCGGCAATGCGGCTCAGGTGCAAGCCACCTACGAGTCTCTCGGTGGCCCTGTGGAAGGCAGCGAGGACAAGAGTCTGCTCGAGATCATCAAGTCCACGCCCGACTTGTCATTCTTTGCTAAAATCCTCAACTACAGCTCCGACTCCACCAAAGAGTTGCTAGACGGGGGCAAAGACAAGCTTACCTTGCTAGGTGAGCTCATTAGAGCACGTGCCGACAAGCCGGACATTGTCATTTGACGCGTCGCTGACGTACTCCGTCTTCATTTCCCTTCTCCTCAGCACCACTCAACTGGCATCACGATGACCATGCCGGCTCCGATATTGACTCTACCACAGCTAGCATATACGGTCCCCGCTCCGTCATTGCCCACTGGGCTCACCTCGAGTCGTCTGTGGACGAACTGAGCCCATCATCTGGAGATGACGATGACGAAGAGAAGCGCAAGCGTCGCGCAGCGATTCGATACCTGATCGATCTGACCGTGCGCTACCACCTCATCGCACCCGATACGGGCGCCGCCGTCACCGCCAAGCAGATCGCGGCAAAGAGCAGTGTCGCCACTGAGCTCGTCATCCCGGCAAGCGCGGAGAAGTATGTTGGCAAGCTGCTTGGTGGAGCACCTTTCCGCCTCAGAAGTGGAAAGAGCCTGCTCCCTCGCCCCGGTGTCTACTTCAACTTTTTCTCTCGCCTGGTGCAGCCTGATGTGAAGGCCTCCGGAGGATCGATCTTGCACGCGGTGTCCCTGCCCCTGCTCATTCCTCCATCCGATTTCCAGACTGTCCTGTTCGGCAGCGCATACAATCTTGGCGCGACCGCTACGGCTCTCTACCGTACTGGAGGCGCTGGCTTCTTCACGCTGCCTCACCTCAAGCATGATGATGATAAGTCGGGACATACTTCGGAGTTCCTTCGAATCCTCGAGGAGAAGGATGATGACGGATACAAAGCTCCTGCGCTTCCTGGTCCTGGAGAGCCTGGCATCACCTTGTTCGCCCCAACCAACCTTGCTTGGACCAAGGTACCTGCCCGCTTCAAGTTCTTCCTTCTATCTCCATTCGGCACCAGGCTTTTGGCCAAGGCTTTCATGCTTCACGCTCTGCCCATCAACATTGTCTATGCCGACGCGGTTTATCAATACGATTCCGATGAGGACAAGGCAGCTTTCCCAATTCACGGCAAGCACAGCGTCGAGCACAAGCCGCTTCCAGTCAATGTGACGACGTACGAGCTCGAGTCTGCTCTGCCGAAGCTGAAGCACAAACATCACCATGACGGAGATGCTGACGCCACCAAAGGACCTTCGCGCGAGATCGTCACCGTTAAAGTGTACCGCTACCCCCTCGTTCCGGGTGGCGGACCTCTGCAGACGCGTGTCGAGGTTCAAGGAGTGCCCGTCGTCGTCCAAGATATCCCAACGGCGAACGGTGCTGTCCACCTTATCGACAGCTTCATCATGCCCAAGGGGCACGAGCATGGCAAGTCTATCGCTCCAGGCCAGGAGTGGGCAAGCGAGAACCTTTCTGGCGTGTGGAAAGAGATCGACGAAGAGAGCGCTAGGCTCGGATTTTCTGATGATCAGAAGCATCAAGACCTCTGAATTCGGGCATTCTGCCAACGAATGACAGAAGTTCATAGCTGATGCCCCATTATCTCCCGAAAACGATGTATCCTACCACGTACGAATCACTCTGACTCCACTTCGCCCTGGTCATTCGCCCCTCCACATCCATTAGCTTGTATCGAGCACGAATGCGAATGGATTCATCGATGCGCGCCCTCTACGCCCTACATGCAACTTGCTCGTAATTTAGCCCCCTCCAACTTGATCGAGCTGGGCGAAGAGTGTGGACAAGTTACTCCGATCCTCATCTCCATAGGAGATGTGGTGGGAAAGGCCGTTGATGCGGGCAAGCCAATCTCCGCCCACATTGTGGGCGCTTCCAAGCCAAGCGCAGCGCATTGCAGCGTTCACTACCGTCGCACTCCCACCGTGGATCATTACGGAGAAAGGGAGGTTTCTTGAGATGAAGTGTTGCCTGGCATTTCAGAACAAGCAGCTATTGATATGGCTGGGATGGATAAAAAGGCGGGCCGCTGATTCGTAATGACCAAAGTTGTGATTGATGTAGACGAGAGAGCCGGACGTTGGCAGCGATGCCGCTGCGCGCCTCCACATGCTAGCCCAATGTGAATCCCTGCATATGGGCAGGCTACCTAGCTGGCTCAATCACAATCATGCACGCCTCTCAACCTGCAAAGTTTCCGCACGACTCGCAAATCATGAATGAGAATCACTGAATGTTGCAGGGGGGATGGGTATATAGGTGCATGGCTAGCGTGCATGTTTCTTCGACACGTCAAAGCTACAATGAGGGATCGAGGCAGTCCGAGTCACGAGTCTCGCATCAGCAAGTCGGCCCGAGTACAGCAATTCAGACTTTCAGGTTTCACCACCAGCAGAAAGCCTCAATCAAGTCTGACACTCGAAGAATGAAGCTCCAAAGCGTGCCCAAGAGCCTGCTGTTGCTGCCCTTCCTCGCGGCCTGCCTGGCTTCGAGCAGCGCTTCTCCGTCAGGAACAAAGCGGGCGCATACAAATCTAAATTTGCGCTCTTTGGCAGCGCTTCCTGTTCCTTTCGTTGCTCGAAACGGATCTCAGCCATGGTCAGGCATGACCAATAGCACCTCATCCATGGATGCCGAGCCTCAATTTCAAACCTATAGCTCGGGAGGCGACAAGCTTCTGGGACGCGATCCCGAGGCACTAATCCTCGTCCACCGGCCAGGCTATGCCTTTGCTCACGAAGCTCCAGTCTGGTTCGCAGATACTCAAGACGTCTGGTTCGCTTCCAACGCCGGGGGCAAGAATGGCAAGAGCAATCTGACGACCAACAATGCCATTTTCAGAATCAATCTGCCTCATGCCCTGCCGCTCGCCAAGAACGGCACCGCGACGTTTGAGAATTCCGTCGAGACCATCTACAGCCCTCTGGTCGAGGGTAAAGCGCAATTTGAGGATATCCAAATGACAAACGGCGCGACTTCTTATGGCGATGCTGTCTTGCTTTGCAACACCGGCAGAGATGATCTCCCTGGATCTTTAGTCCTCGTCAACCGTTCGGACATCGGACAGAAGCCCAAAGTCTTGCTCAACAACGCTTACGGCAGAGACTTTGTCAGTCCCAACGACGTTGTAGTCCATCCCAAAGGCGCAATCTTGTGAGTCCGAAGCAAAAGCACTTCGCTCCAGCTTGCTGCGCACAACAGTCTTCATTTTCCCTCGTCTTTTCTTCATTCAAAAAAGCTTCACAGATGCAGGTGTGTCACGGTGTGATACTCTCTGACATCACGCCGGGAGAACTGCGCAGGCTGACTCCACCCTGACCCCCCGTAAGACTACGGAGTCCTTCAAAACTTCAAGCCACCCGTTGCACAAGCCAAAGCGACCTGGCGTTTCGTCCCAACTACAGGCGAGCTGCGCATGATAGACGCAACCATCACCACACCGAATGGCATTGCATTGAGTCCCGATGCCAGAACTCTCTATGTGTACGTCAAACATTCGTCGAGCACTCTTCTCCCCCGAGCATGACCATTGTTGTAGCTCATGAACGATTGACCCTGCCGAATTGCAGCACTGAGACCGGTCTCGCCCGGTCTGGGGCAGGTACGGACGACTATTCCATCCCCGCCGTCATGTGAGTCCCTGCGATGATATGAGTAGCGTGCCACGCGGCCCGTAGCCTAGGCCAGCTGAATCGGCCCTCGACTCCGCGCGGTCTCAGCTACGCCTTCGATCTCGACACCACCGGCTCAATCGTCTCCAATAAGCGGACCTTCACCAACGTGCCCACCGGCATAGCTGACGGCATCAAGACGGATTCCAAAGGAAACGTGTACACCTGCACAGGCGGCGGTCTAGAGTGAGTGCTTTTCCCTACTTCAACACCCCTTCAGGTCGTCGATGTTGCAAGCTGAGCGAGAATCCTTTACTCTGCCCCGCCCGCTGCAGAGTCTATGCGCCAAGGACTGGTCAGCCTCTGTACCGTTTCTTCTTGCCTACGGGCTGCACACAAGTCGTCATGGTTCAAGACGGACGCTTGCTGCTTTTGGCTGAAGAGACGATCTGGTACTTGCGCGTCGCATCGCATGTTCAGCCAGCACCCATCGCCTCCTACCCCAGATCTGGTCGACTTCAAGGCTATTGAATCGGAGCGAAAAACGTGATGACAGTATCGCTTGCCGTTCGCAAGCCGTATCAGTATGGACTGCTCCAAAACGCAGGGCTTTGCAAGCCAAAAAAAAACAAAAGTAGTATATAAGATGCAAATCGCACTCTCATCTCATTTCTTCACTGCAGAGTCCCAACCTTGCTCCTCTAGCCTTTGAACTTTGCCAAGAACCTCCTGCTCCATCGCATACATGTAGCTTTGCATCGCTTCCAAATAGTGCGGATCTGCAGCACCAAGGATTCGAATTGCCAACAGAGCCGCATTTGTTGAATTGTTGATGGCCACAGAAGCGACTGGTATGCCGCGCTGTAAGTCGAGCGGGAGATGCAGTTGAGAGGCGTCGTATGCTCCGATGAAGCTCGAGCTAGTACTCACTGGCATCTGCACGATACTGTGCAACGAGTCTACTCCATCCAATGTGCTGCCCTTGACGGGCACACCGATGACAGGCAGCGGCGTTTGAGCAGCGACCATGCCAGGCAGGTGCGCTGCTCCGCCCGCTCCAGCAATGATGCACCTCAGCCCTCTGCTAGGCGCGGCTCTAGCATAGTCTCTCATCCTATCCGGTGTCCTATGGGCAGAGACGATGCTCAGTTCGAAGGGAATGTCGAACTTTTTCAGGATTTCTGCGCCTGGAAGCATGACGGGTAGATCGGAGTCGCTGCCCATGATGATCCCGACCAGAGGGTGGGGATGCTTGAAGTCCTGCGACGACTTGGCTGGTGCAGACGTGGCAACTGATGTCCCTTCTTTGAAAGCCTTAGCGGCCGCTTGAGAGGCTCCCTCGAGAGTCAGGCCCCAGGGCAGAGACTTGCCGGTTTCTCCTGCTTCTGTCGCAGTGTTCAATGCATCCTGGATCGGTGCGAGGCGATCTCTCACCGCTGCATCAGAAGGGCCGACAATGGTAATGTGTCCCATCTTTCTTCCTTTCCTGCACCCGCTCTTGCCGTACAGGTGCACCGTCGTCCCAGGAATGTTGAGACTGACAACTGCGGGCGCATAAGTCTTTGCGATGGCATCCTTATCCTTGTCCAGATCTGCTAGGCCTAGAAGGTTGATCATTATTGCCGATCCAACTTTGAGTTCCGTGCTACCTAATGGCAGGCCAAGAATAGCTCTCAAATGATTCTCATATTGACTCGTCTCGCTGGCCTCAATGGTATAGTGTCCACTGTTGTGAGGTCGAGGCGCGATCTCATTGATCCGCAGCTCGCCATCGCCCATCAAGAATAATTCCACGCCAAATACTCCGGCTCCCGAGAATGTCGATACAGCCTTTTCCGCGATTTTTCGAGCTCTGCTACCTATTCTCGCATCTCTGGATCGAAGCGGCACAAAGACACTGTGACAGATGTTGTTCTTGTGGACCGTCTCGACAGCTGGGTATGATCGCACCTCGCCAGTGGAGCTTCGCACGACCATCACTGCGACTTCCCGTTCGAATGGCGCCCACTTCTCCGCATACAGTCCTCGTGTGCCTGCTCCCAGCGCGTTGACAGCGTCGGATGCGTCGCTCGCAGTCTTGACTACATAGTTTCCCCTTCCATCGTAAGCCTGCGTGCGGGACTTGATCATGACCGGATATCCATACTTGTCGCCCGCCTCTTCGATCGCTCTCGCCTGGCTTTGAACTGTGTCACTGGCATTCTGAGCGGGTTCGGGCAGTGGTGAAAACTCTCCGCAAGGCAGTCCCTTGTTCCTCAAATAGTCCTTTTGTGCAAACTTGTCTTGGATGAGCTTGATCGTGGCGGGCGTAGGATGCACCTCTTTGACCAACCCCTGATCCAAAACTTCTTGCAGCTTGCTAGCATCCACATGCTCGATTTCCACGGTAATAATGTCCACCTTGTTTGCTAATGCCTTGATCTTCTCTCCATCTGCAAACGAGCCGTCGATATGCTCACTTCGAGCACTCGAGCCTGCCTGAGCTGGTACGTCGCAAATCTGCTTCGCCGGTGCTGAGTCGCCGACGTCGAGCAGTCTGACGGATACATTGAGTCGTGCAGCAGCCTCTACGAGCATTCTGCCTAACTGGCCAGCGCCTGTGCAACAGATGAGGAAGGTGTCAGCAAGCTATCAGGCGTGCCATCTTTACATCCTCGCCTCAGCACGACTTACCTAGCACACCTACCACCCGCGGCTCCGCTCTAGCAATCTCAGAGCTCGACATGATGCTTCGTGAGACTGAGATGGGGTATGAAATGGAATGAGGGCCCATCAGAGGGATAAGGTGTATGCGAGGATGGCGAGGATTGAACAGCCTCTCGAAGATCTTGAAATCACGAATGCTAGAATTCCGATCACGTCGAAATGTGAAAAGGCAGCATCGCGCGTGGTCATTCTCGTACGAGAGACCACACGACTTCCACGCTTGTCCAAAGCTACGCATACGCCAAGGTGGCTTGCAATCACCCCTGTTCATGGCCATGCAGTGACTTTCGAACTCGAACTCGAACTCGAACTCGAACTCGCTTTCAGCATTCACGATTTCAATGCACCGAGACCACCATTCAGAACGCATGGCGAATTGTATCCGCGAAGTAACAAGCGCGAAGCCTGCGTGCCACAGGCTGCTAAGTGACCATGCGGCATTCACGGTTCTCGTGACGCAGCCCTCCACGCTCACGAGACGCAAGTGGTCTGGGCCGAAGGGATCGCTGTGCGAGTTTGCAAGTAGCTTCAAAACGTTCCGGAATTTTAATCACGAATATTCACGATTCTATTTCGCTCAAGTGCACCCCAAACCAAGTCCGCGGTCGTCATGGGCATTGATTGCTGTTCATTCGTCAGACGAAACAGGAGGTGCCAGTGATCGGAGACGGGTCAAGTCTTAGCCTCAAGAAGACCGTCGAGACCCGTGCAAGAGATGATCGTCAAGTTGATCCATGCATGGCAAATCACTTGGGCTCGACAGTGACAGTAAAGTCCTTGTCCTTCGCTTCAGCGCCCACAGTGACGCTGATAATGCTCTTGGCCTCATCTACCGACGAGCTAACGGCCGAAGCGCCTTCTCCGCCGATCGTCACGTTCACTCCATCCTTGTACATACGTTCGCCATCGTACGCAATGTGAATCGTGTCCGGCTCAGCGCCTGCTCCCGGACAACCAAAGAAATAGTGTGAAGACATTAGATGCGAGCTTGAAAGGTACCAACCCCTGCGCAATGGGAAGCTCTACTCACCGCGGTAAGAACCGGTCCACTTGCGAGCACCTGCAGTAGCCTCGGTGCCATCGCCGTCCTCGAATACTTGAGTGACTGAAACGACCTTGTGATCTGGGTACTCTCCCTTGCTGTGTCCGGACATGACCTCGTAGGGTACGAAACCGTGCTGGTAGAAGACATCTCGGACTCTGCCGACGCACATTGGCGTCTCTTGGGCCAGCATGGACACTACCGAGGTTGGAATGTTTCCTGCAAAATCGTGGTGAGTGGCAATGTGGAGATGGGTCAGATCGCTCGTCTCTTTTTCCTACAGCCTACTGCAAGGTCGCCGATGCTGTGTATGCTGGCTCACCGTTCAAGTGGACCTTTACGATGTAGCTCAATTTGACATTGTCGCCATCCTGTTCGATGTTCCATCCCGAAATGTCCACAGTAGCGCGCGTTCGGCTCTTTGCATAACTTCCGGCGTCCGGCAAGTTTTCCTCATCCGTCACGCTGACTTGGATCATCTCCACATTTCCATCTTTCCAATGAGACTCTTGGACCGCCGCAATGTCGCGTGCCCAAATGAAGTAAGAGGGAGACTTCATCACGCTGTACAGCTCGTAAGAGGACTGGGAGAAGCGAGCGATGGGATAACCTTCCTCTAGACGAGGGTCCCACTTCTTGCGGATACCTGCGTGGGAAAGAAGGGACACATTGTGAGCACAAGCCAGCCAGAGCTATCGAGTCTCGGGGCAGAATCGCAGTATTTGAGGCCTATCTGTTAGGACGAATACGCGAGTGGATGCACGTATGCGCTTCGGCTAGCACCCAGAGCTTGTCTACCAGTGTATGCATGTATCCGCAGGCTTTCGCAGTCATTCTGGACACTCACCTGGCAACATGAGAGCTGCGAGCACCTTTGCGGGCGTAGCGTTCTCCACAATCGTCTCTCCTCTGGTGGTGGGCACAGCATAGGGGTCGGCAGGATCGACAATCTTGGTCAACTTGACCTCTTCCCTCTCTCCAGCATCTTCCCATTCCGAAGAAGCTCTGAGCTCTGATAGCAGCAGAGTAGCCTTCTCAATGGCCGAAGTGTAGTCGGCAGGACGGGGAACGTACCCCGTAGGTGCGGGGTTGTCTGGAATGTTGAGCGACATGAAGGGCAGGGGAAGCGGTGGGAGCTGAAGAGGGACCCGTGGACTCTGTTGGTGGTAGCGGTGAGGAAGATGGTCAGAAAGGAGCGCAGTGCTTCTGAAAGCCGCTTTACGTTCCGATCTGTTCAAGCATCAAACAATATGCGGCCCAGACCCACGAGTCAGGGTTGCAGCGCACGATGCGTGAAAAAGCCAGGACAAGCCGAGAAGGGGCAACAACAGTGCTGCTATATGCCTAGCTCGGTCAGCCGCACAAGCCAAGTGCAGCAAATCACGAATACCGCACAGCTTCCTGGCGGTGTATGTATATGGACGCGGAGAACAGCAGGCCAATCAATCTGAGCAGCAGCTGACACAGCGCAGCAAGAAGCTACGGACCTTACAACTTATTATTGAACGCAGCAACCGAATAAGCACGGACTCAGACGATGAGGGATCGAGCAGCGTTGTTGGCCAAAAGAGCCGCTCACTCGTGACTCCTTCCTTGCCTCTTGGCCATGGCAAACCCCACACTTCTTTTGGACGCTTGATGCGAGTCTACCTGTAGGTATAGGTAACACTTACTTCAATCACGCGCCATACGGCAGAAGGGTGGGGCTGGCTGCATGCGCTTGAAAGTACGCGTGTGAAAGGCGTCTGCTGTAAAATGATGTGCCGTCGGACATAGCTGCATGCGCATGCTGGCTCCACATTCCTCTCTCCCTGCACGCGCGGGGACAGCAAGCGTCCCACCGTGTGGATCAATCACGTGATTTGGCAACCCTCGCCCTGGCATTCACAACTCAAATCACAATTGCGTGAAGGATGTCGAGCACGCTACGTTGAACTTTATGCCGGGCATCATGCACTAAAACTCACGACCTGGACTCACGAATCGTGACTGTTCGGCAAGTGCATCCGCCTTGGTGTGCTCCAGCATTTCAAGCAGCAACACCGAGCCACCTTTGCATGCCTTTTCTTGGTCCTTTGGTCATCGTGACGAAGCTGCGGCTGCGCCTGATTCGTCATCAGAGTAGCCTCCCTTCTGGCTCAATCCTTCGATCAGCATAAAGCAAATAGCCGAACTTCGCGGAGCCGTGCCGAGGGTAACCGACAAACTCGTTTGGCCTCACGATCTTGACAACAAAGACCGCTCTTGGACCCACAAAGTCCTGAAGAAGAAGAAGTCAAGCGCAGTCGCTGCTGAATCTGGCGGCGACATGAGCTCCACTAGGAGCCACTCCCTCCTGCGGATGCAAAACAGCTGTATGCGCTGCTCGAGCTGGCGATCTCAAGCGGTATTGAACTCGAGCACGGCTAGTAGAGCGGGAGAGAGGAGTCGCAGGGCCTACTCATCGGCGCCTGGCAGGGGTGCCAAAAGCGGCGCATACAATCGTGGGAGTAGGACCGTCTCGGCTTCGTTCGCTGTGGGCGCCGGCGCTGCTGCTGCTTTGGCGCTCAACTGGGCAACCAGTAGCACGGCAAGCGGGGTGCAATGCGATGGAACGATTCCTGCTGCAAAGGTGGGCAATGTCAGTGTGGGAGGGGGCAAGGTGAGTCTTGTCCGCACGCGGGCTGCTAGTGCGAGTCGCCCATGGGAGCTGACTCGTAGCTGTGCGCCTTGCGATCCTCATACAGTCCGCTGTGCCGGACATTTCTGCACTGCGACCAACAGTGTTGACGGACTCGTCGGCTTCGATGAGGACGCGCATGGAGACATATGTCAAGCTCTTGCAATACAAGATAGTCAGCGCCTTGACCGAAGAGGAGACGGGCTCCAAAGGCTTCTTCGTGGATACTTGGTTGAGAAAAGAAGGCGGAGAAGGCATCTCTTGCATATTGCAAGATGGCGAAACGTTTGAAAAGGCAGGGGTCAACATTTCCATCGTCCATGGCTCGTTGCCGCCGAGGGCGATACAGCAGATGAGCGCTGATCATGCAGGACTACTGGACAGTGTGGGCTACGACCTGGGCCTCGGCACTGGCCCAGTTGGCTCTGCTACTTCAAAACAGGCCGAAGTCAAAGGTCTTCCATTTTATGCTACCGGACTTTCTCTCGTAGTGCACCCTCGCAATCCACATGCGCCCACGGTGCACTTCAATTACCGCTATTTCGAATTGACGCATCCTCCGACCCTGGCGGATGGCTCCGTCAATCCTCGTTATGATCCTTCTGATCCCACAAAGCCATGTGCTTGGTGGTTTGGAGGCGGAACCGATTTGACGCCCATGCTGCTCTATTCGGAAGATGCGGAGCACTTCCACAAGGTGCTCAAGTCAGCTGCGGACAAGCACGAGACTGCATGCTATCCCGCATGGAAACGTTGGTGCGATCGATACTTTTACCTGCCTCATCGGGGAGAGACGCGAGGAGTAGGAGGAATCTTTTTCGACGATCTGACACTACCTCGAGCAGCGCAAACCGCTCGGATACTGCTTCAAGAAGGAAAACCAAATGCAGCGAATCCTTCCGAAGTCTCCATTCGACCTACACAAAAGCTGCACGATCGAGAATCCCTCTTTGCGTTGGTGCGCGAGCTGGGCGACGCTTTCTTGCCGGCTTACTTACCCATCTTGCAAAGGAGGATAAGGATGGCTACCTCGCCAGAGGCGGAGAGATGGCAACGTCTTAGACGGGGAAGATACGTAGAGTTCAACCTCCTGTACGACCGTGGCACCAAATTTGGATTGCAGACTCCAGGAGCTAGGATTGAGAGCATTCTCATGAGTCTGCCGCTCGAAGCTAGGTGGGAGTACGTGGAGAGGCACAGTGGTGTAGGACAGACTGGCAGTGAGCAGGAAGAGGAAAGCGCAACACTCTCTGCGGGGCAGAAGGAGCAGAGCAGGCGCGAAAGGGAGACCATGAAGGTGCTGAGGAAACCCCAGGACTGGGCATAGACTTCTTCGCTTCGTTCATACAGGAAGCCAGGCAATGCAAAGAATGAGGATCTCCTGTGGCTCAAAGCCAGAGACACCATCGCAGCACAAGCGAACAAAGCACCGAGTGATAAAGATGATGCATTTCGGTCCAGCATTTGGATAGTATCTGAAATGGTATGGCAGAGCTGGTCGCGAGCGCGGTGGCTAGAGTGAGCGTGTTTAAGAGCAAAAGAAAGTGTGTGCCTTGCCCACCTGCGCGGTAGCGCTGTCAACGAAAAGATGCAAGGGTAGACAAGGGGCAGAAATCGAGACAGAAAGTGGCCAAGGATGCAAAAGAGAAAGAAGGAGAAGCCGTTTATTATGCATTGCGCAATACTCGAAAGAGTGGCAAAGCTCGCGCACGAAGAAGCGAAACAAGGTGCGCAAAGAATCTGGGTAAGAGAGATGGTCGTCGTGCGCCAGCACACCGCAGGCGTTTTGCAGCGCGACGACAAGATCTCAAAAACTTCCTACGATTACAGTGACTGCTGCTGCGGAGCCATAGATGACGACGAGGGTAGCGACGATGGCTGCGATACGGTTGAGGAGCACGAAGCGCTCAAGACCAGCCCAGTGATCGATAGCAGCATTGACGCGCTCTCCAATGCTGCGGCTTCGTTTGTGAGTTCTGGGCTGGCCATTTGGGATAGAGCTGTGGGGCATGGTCGAGTTTGGCGGAGTACCTGAGGAGGCTGTCTGTTGAGCAGCTTCGTGCACCTGCACCCGCGTGTCCCGATCCCCCAACACAGCTCGAAGGGCTTCCACGCTGGGGGGCCGAGAAGAAGCCCTCTCGCGCGACTCTCTCACTGGCGCGAGCGCCAACACCGTCTCAGGTTGGGGAACAGCCGTCGCCTCGCCGCTTCGCACAGGAGACCGCATCAGCGCGATCTCTGGGTTGGAGCCTAGGATGCTGGACACCGACCGTCTGCTACTTCGAGGGATGCTGTGCGACTGGGGCGACTCGCGCGACGAAGTATCCGCCCACGCAGACGATGCGTTGCTTCGTACCGTGGCATGGCTGCGCATCGTTCGAAGGGTGTGCGTAGTACCATTCGAAACATCTGCTGGGTGCTCGATCATTGTCGCTCCACTGCCCGAGGTTGCTACGCCAGCCTGCTCCCCGGCCGCGTCTGAGGCAGGCGTGCCTTCGCCACGCTCAGCTGAACCCTGAGAAGGGAATACCGCACCACCAAGCCTGGAAGCGGCGTCACGCTCCGCGGCCTCGCGCATGCTGGCTTCATGCTGCCAGAACTCCACTTTAGCTGGCGCTCTGGTCGCAATGCGTCCTTCAGAAGAGAGCCACCAGCCACCGATCAGCCAGAGCCACGGCATGCCCAAGAAGCCGGCAAAGAAGAGCGTCTTGGATGGCACGCTAGTCAGGTCCAGCTTCGCATGTGGGCCCCCCAAAGGCAGGGGGAAGTGCGAGCGTCTGCGGCGCATTCGGCTGACTTGCAGTGCAGCGTTGCGCATGAGGTGTTCTTGAATTGCCGCGCTCGGCACAAAAATGCTCATAGGGCGGCCATGACCTGGAGGCCCACCCGCCGTCTGCACTGGCCTTCGCTGGCTATCTTCGACGTTGATGACCGTTCCAGCAGCAGCACCGCTGTCATGCAACAGCACGCGCGCACTGCCGCTCGAGCGCTTGCTGGCCCCAGTGGCCCAACCGAATGGAATGATTGTAGCCGTGGGAGGCAGCGAGGGTGTCGACTGGTGCCCAGCACCCCGGCGGCGGATGCCTTCTTCCTCGATCAACGGCTGCGCCGACTGCTGCTCTTGATCGGCTTGAGCTGCGAGATATTCAGCGCGATCTTGGCTGGCCTGCAGGCCGCCGTCGCCTTCCGCAAAGTCGAGCCAAGGTGATCCAGGAGTTACGGGCCTGCTCGAGTTCTCAGCCTCAGTACGGCCGACGCGCTGATCAGCGCGACTTGCAGCAGCTGTGCTGCCCCAAAGCGGGCCGAAATGCAGGCGAGGAGTCCATCCAGAAGGGCTTGCAGCCACGCGAGGCGATTTGATGGCGTCGAGAGGAAGGGAGCCAGGTCGTTGAGGTTGTTCTCGGCTGGGCGCCGGCGAGTTGGGTTCGCCCATGTCGAGATGTATCTCGTGCCCATTGGACAGGTAGCGAATACGAGATCTACGCTTGACGCGATTATTGTCGCGGCTCTGAACATGAGCCGCTTCCGGCTTTGCAGCGACACCTTCAACATCTTCGAGCAGAGACGAAAACCTAGGTGTAGAAGGAAGAATAGCCGTAGCAGGAGCAGATGCGATACCTGCTTCTCGACCACTGGCAGAAGGCTGAGAGCGCTCGAGATGGGGAAAGATGCCTGCAAGGTCCTCGCGTGAATGCGACCTCCTGTGCCCGTAGCTGGCACGACGGTGAGCCGCAACGGCGGCCCCGTCTCTGTCGCGAGTGTCACGCTTCTCAAGCAAGGTGAGGGAGCGCATAGGTGGAGAGCGCTTTTCGCTCGTTGCCTGGGTGTCCGTATCGTGCGAGGTCAGACCAGAGCTGCTAGCGATGCTGAAGAACTTGTTGCCCCAGCGAAGGTTGGCCAACGCGCCCCATCCGGATGCAGCAGAGGAGTGTGCCTTGCTCCTTGAACGCGAAGGTTGCGTGTTGGCTGTCTCTGGGACGAGCGACAACGCGGAGTTGCGTTCGACATCACCAGCGACAGTCGCTGTGCGTGCACGTGCAGGCGCTCGAGGTGTACGATCAGCATCCAATACAGGAGGTGAAGACACTGTGTGCTCTGTATCTGGCAGCGCGTGAGTGGGAGCAGGAGGCGTGACGTTGCAAGCAAATCCTTCTACGCTAGATGACATGCTTGGCGAGGGACGGAGACTCTGGTCGTTTGATTCTAAGACTGAGGTCGCTAGGCTTGGCGAAAGCTTCGCCCCAGCATCGCCGGGAATTTGAAGGCCGTGTGCGGGCGAGATGGCAGCCCTGTGTACAGCGACTGGGCCTTGAAGTCCGTGCGGCACGATGGCGTCCGAGGATGGAGCTTGACTGAGACCGAGCCCTATGCCAGCGCCGAACTTGGGTCCAAGACTCAGCCGCTTGTGTGCCGTCTGTCCGGACACGCTCACGGTGGGGGAAGGCTTCTCAGAGCTAGAGGCGTCCAGAAGAAGGGGGGACTGAGGCCAAGGGCCCTTGACCTCGCTCACGCGTCGCTTTACACCTGATCGCAGCTCATGGGTGGCAACGCTGGTCGGCGGGACTTTGACCAGAGCGCCGTCTTCTGCATCGTCCTGACGACATCATATTGCGGTTCGGGTGCAAGCGTCAGCGGAAAGTATCGCGCGGGTCTGCAAAGGAGCGGGACGACTCACCACGCTTATCGCTTTCTGCGCATTAATCCACTCGAGGGTTTCGCTCCGAGGAATACTTGTGGTGCGCTCACGTTCGGCCTTCGGTGCCAGATGCTCTTCTTCGATGACATCTCGGAACAGGCTTCCAGTCGGAGCACTGTGCCCACGGAGCATGTCCGCGGCGGAGAGAGGGGGCGGAGAGGAGAGCAGCGCATCGGCCAAGGAGCCTCTGCGCTTCCCGCTGACGGCCGCCGTGAGCTTGGAGAACGTGCCTGATGGTGTGCCCACTTCGCTCGCGGTAGAGCGCGTGTATTCGCTACCTCCACCAACTGTGCGTGCCGTGCCGGGCTCCGAGAACAAAGCGGAGAATGGCGTTCCGGGACTTGTCTTGGCCTCGGATGGGGGATAGGCTAGAGTTCTTGTCTGCACCTCGAGAGAAGGACCATTTTGCAATGCCGTAGCAGCGCTGCCTGTATCTAGGCCGAGCGCATTTCCGCGCGGTAGAGGCATTAGCGTGTCGTTGGTGTTAGTGTTCGCCGGCTCGTCCGTGGTGACAGCCGGGAAAACGCCAGTGGCTGCCGTTGCAAAACTCTCAACACTGCTCTCGCTGTTGCGGGCTCGATGGCGTCGACGCACACTTTTTGAGCTGCGCTCTGCGGTGCTGCTCGTCAAGCTCTTTGAAGCGGCGTGCTGGTGATGTCTGCTCAAGTGTTTTCTGTAGTCGTAAGCAGGGTCAGACGCTGCACTGGCAAGCACTTCCACAGACTCATGGCTCGGTCGAGGGAGCGCAAGATCGAGCGAGGCGTTCTGTTGGCCCTTCGTAAGTGAAGGCTGAGGAAGAGTCATCGGGTCAGGCAATGCAGGCGGTTCCTCAGTGGTGGGTGTGCCTGGCATTGATCCTCCACTAACTTTGCGCCATTGATTTTGTTGCGCGCGCAGACGTTGCTGTTTGACCAGAGCGCTGATGTCTGCACCAGTCGGTAGAGCGGGGAGAGGCTCTGTGGGGGGCAAGGTGGCGGGGGGATCCGGACGAGGAGACGAGGAGGACGAAAATCTGCCTGAGCGCGGCGTCGAAGGTGCCGAGCGCTGTTGGGAGTCGATCGATGTCTGGGCGTCGGCGGATCGTTTTGTAGAGCTCAGAGGTGTGATTGGCAGCGCCTCGATTTCGTTAGCAGCTGGGGTTATGGGGCTGAAGTGACTGACCTCCACCCCGTCTGCCCGGTCGCCAGTCGTATGCGCTCCCTTACTGCTCTTGCCGCTGCGCAAGAAGAACAAAGGTGCGGGAGGCCGCTTACGCTGCCTCGTCTCCCACTTGGCGGCCTCGGACATGCCACGCGCTGGAGAGGGTGCATTTGGGGAAGGTGGCGCGACTTGCATCGATACTCCATCTTGTTGGTCATCCAGAGTTGCCGACATGCGCTCCACTGTAGAAGCGACTCTCTTCTTCAGCTTCTCGACGGGCGAGCGCGTCTGGCCCTCGAGCTGGCTGGTAAAGTCGAAGCTCAGATTGAGATCTACTTCTTCGTCAGTGGACACTTGAGCGCTCCTTTGCGCCTCGAGAGCATTCCAACGCTGCAAACCAGCATCGCCTGAAGCAGTGGGGCTTCGGGCAATGAGTTCCTCCGCCGCAATGTGGTACGTGCGCTGTGCGCTTGAGCGCTTAGATAGTGTTGCTGAAGTGGGAGGCTCTCGCGGCTCCTCCTTGGCTTGCTGTTGTGCAGTAGCCTCCATCTTGGCGTCATCGGCCGCTTCTGCACTACCTGAAAGCCAAAGCCCTGCTCCGCTACCACTGCCTGTCCCCATGCCATGTCCTGCTCCAGGTCTCAAAGTGCTTGTCTTGTGTCTCAATGGACGCGCGGGAGCTGCGCTCGCGGACGCCATGGCGCCGTCCACTCGCGGCTCGTGAGAGGGCTTTTCTCTAAAGTGACTGCTGTCAGGTCGACTGTAAGCTAAAGCAGATGTCTATGGCACGATTAGAGATTGTGAGGCTCGTGTCGATCAGAGGCGAGGAGGAGATGCCAATGAAGTTGCCGGGGGGGGGGCGAGGTCGTCAAAATCGTGATGATCGGACTAGGTATCAACGGCGCATGGAGGGTGCTTGATCTTCGAGAAATGACTGTAGGAAAGAAGGAAGGGCCAAGACACTTGCAGAAATGTTAGAACGAGGGAGAGAAAAGAGGTGAATGTAAGAATGAAGGTAACTGGAGTAGACGAGGACCGTCAACACTCCACAGAGACGAAAGGAGAGGAAAAGGCGAAGCCGAGCGGTGAGACGTATGACGGTCGGGGCGAAAGCGGTGACGGCAAAGGAGAAAGGGGCGTACAGATCTCTCCAGCGGCCATGTGTGAGGACGTTACAGCAGGTAAGGTAGGGTAGAGGAGCCCGCTAAGCCAGACCAGGGGCTGATCCGCTGCGTCTGACCGTCGGTTAAGCTGGCATGGTCAACAAGCGGACCGCACACAGAAATCTGTCTGTCCGTTTGGGCACCCATTCTGCTGTCAGTCCTACTGGTACAGCTGCTCAGCGATGGCTTTGGTGCGCCCCTTGGCGTATCAGGAGAGCAGGTGCGCGCCGGAGACCCTGTTGTGCCTAGACAACGAAGGAGCTCGCAGGCCTTGATACGCATGGGCAGTTCGAGCGTGCGACAGACGGTCATGCGCGCAGATGAACCGTTGACGTCCATAGCGAAAGCCATGCTGCATGATTACGGGCTTCATTGCGCGTCCCTATCATTAATGAGGTCCCAAATGACACTATATTGAACCTTGTCAGACTAGAAGGGTGCCATGATGTTGAGGCGTTGCAACTGTCGGGCAGGCGCAAGGAAGTTAGGAATAAAAGAACAGGCTAGGAGCGATACGTGCAGGACGCCCCGATCCGCTCGAACGGCAACCGAGTTCTAGCAGGTCTTTGCATCCTGAGCGCCCAGGATCTGGAGCTTGTGGTGGGGTGAAGCTCGCTTGGCTTGTGACTACTGTTGGTGGTAGCGCGACTCAACGACGCGCTGCTGGCGAGGAATGCGCAGCGCGTGCCTCGTGAAATGACATGGCGCGCGTCTGCTGCAGCACGCCGCGTGCTGCGAGTTGCGCGCGCCGTCTCATGTGCGACGTACATCAATCACCAATCAATTCAAGAATCTCTTGCCGGCTGAGTGAAAGAGCAGCAGCATCTCCACACTCACTCTCTAAAGTGTTCGCTGCCTTCGCGAGCTTTGAGCCAATGAGTTTGCCCTGCCGAGTTGGAGCGACTGCTCGCTGACTTTCAACACCCTAGACTCACGGCTCATCAAGACAGTTGGTCTTCGCTCGGGGTGTATGTCACGTGATCGCACAGATCGGCACCTTGGTATTCTTAATTCCTGGTTCCGAAATTCGGCACTCATGACTCTTGCCTGTTGTGATTCAAGAAGCAAAACTCATTGTGATTCGTGATCAGATCGACAGCTCGCACTGGTTGAGCTTGCGCTTTCCCACTCCGCACTCAAGCACTCAATATGCAAGACTCATCAGTGCCCATGACTCCATCTCATGCTCACGTGCTCCAGCAACACGGCTTTGACCAACTTTGGACTGTCCGGGCTGCGCATGTGACCTTCTGACACCGATGAGTAGACCAGGCCTGAAGCCCTCCATTGTCATTGATGTATTCACAGGTCCATACACGAAGAAGCAACGAGGACATCCTTGAGCTTCAGCGCAGCGCAGACTACTAAGCGGAGTGATGACAGGGAGCGGACTTGCACTCTTGGGACAGAAGGGCCGGACTATCGACGAGCGCGTTTGCTGGGTGCTGTGGAGGAGGGTGCTCGACGAGTTCGCTTGAAGCCGCCAAACGTCACCGAGTCCCCATCCGAGTCATCACCGCCTCGTCTGTGATGGGATTTCGAAGGAGCAGCCGAACGAGACGAAGCTAACCCACCTTGCGGACGCATAGAAGCGTTCGAGCCGTCTGCGCCGTCAAGCTCCCAGTCATCGTCCAGTCGCAAGTCGGGTTCTGGGCTAGCAGCATCTTCATCCGCTCCTGGCGATTCGTCGATGTCTTCTAAGTCCTCGACATCCTCGTAGAGCGCCGCTAGAGCTTTATTGCGGCGGCCTCGGGATGGCACGTCTGAGACTTGTTTAGGTCTGCTCGACGCTGCTGCGTGGCGCCGCGATCCGATAGGCTTCGCTTCCTCTTCTTCCTCGGATTCAGAAGGGTCCGCAAACAGGCTTTTCTTCTTTGTTCTTGGCCGTGCTGAAGCGCCCGTGGTAGCTGCGAACATGCCAGCCTCTGGAGTGGCTGTGACCGCGAGATCTTGTGTCGTGTCATGACTACGTGTCGCACTCGCGTTGCGCACAGCTGGTGAGTTGAAAGGATAGCAGCCCTTGTCAGGGCGTCAGATTGAGCAGATATAGTCTGCCAACCTACTCACCAGGATCACCAAACATCTCTCCGGGACCACTGGCGTGTTCCAAGGCGATCGGCACGCGTTTGGGCCGTTCCGCCTGGAGTCAGACGAAGGCGGATCAGTTCCAAGACAACGTTGGCCAAAAAGAAGCACAGCCTCTTACCTGCTTGAACTTTTTGAAGTTCGGTCTGCCATCAAC